ATTAAAGACTGGGGAGACCAGGCCGCCGGGGTGAGGAACCTGGACTGGGAAGGGGGGGGGCTTGACTGGGGCATTAGAGAAAGGGCCTTGTGAACTGACTTCATGTGACCACACAGTCCTTGTATCACAGTGGCCCTAGGAGACGGGCTGGGTGGATTTTATTGTTACTTTCTCTGCTGTTGTTTTGAGACCGGGTCTCATGTCGTCTAGGCTGGCCACGAACTCTCTATGGAAGACACCTGACAGTTGGCTCTGGCCATTGCATGCTGGGACACTCACCTGAGTGCACCACACACATACACACAAGAAACTCACACAGGGCAGGAACCTGGAGGCAGGAACTGAAACAGGTCAAGGAGGGGTGCTGCCTACTGGTCTGACCCACACGGGTTGCTCAGTTTGCCGCCTTATAGCACCCAGGATCACCAGCCCAGCGGCGGCCCCACCCACACCTCCCTCAGCAATCATCAATCAAGAAAAAACGCTCCACAGCCTTGCCTCAGGCCAGTTTGGTGAGGCAGCCTCTCAACTGAGATTTCTTCTTCCAAAACAACTCTAGTTTGAGTCATGTTGATATAAAACTAGCCAGGAGAGACACCAAACAAGCTCCCAGATCAGTGTCCCTGTTGAAGAGGCTTGAGGACCCCTCAGGCTGGCAGCAAGCTGGCAGGCGGAACCTGGTTCCCCTGGCCCCAGTGTAGAGGGGGAGCCTCTGGTTAGGATTGGTAGGAAACAGGGAAGGGGGCGGCCTGTTTAGTTTGCTGCTGCAGAACCCCCAGCACCTGGAGTGGGGAAACAGGGAGTGTGAGGGATTCCTCTCCCAGAATGCCTGGTGTGGCGTGTCACAGACAGGTGTCAGTCCCAGGTTGCTTCCAGCATCAGAGCCAGCCATGTCCTCAACCTGTGTACTCAGAAGAAGGGGACAGGCTGCAGCTTTGTGTCCCGTCCCCTGTCAGAGAGCTGCCCTGACACAGCACAGGGACAGCTACTGTTGGCCCCTGATTTATTTCCTCTGTCCTTACAGCCAAGGACACCGAGGTCAAGGAATGCTGTGGAACTTTCTCTTGTTCCCCAGTTCCTGAGTGGCAGAGGCAGGATTGGAACCTGGGATGTGCATGCAGGACACCTGGTTGGGCTGCCTCGGGGTCTGAAGTTTAGTGGCTAACAGAGCTGAGATGGGCCTGAGTCAGATATTATAGCCAAAGCTTCTGAGAGTTTCTGAGCAGGTGCGTGTGTGTGTGTGTGTGTGCGCGCAACCTCTTGGCTTTCCTGAGACTGCCTCTAAGCCTGCAGCCCCCCACACTCAGGTTTATTTTATTATATATATGAATGTGTGTCAGTGTGGGCAGGTGTGCAGGAGTACAGCGCCTGCAGACCAGAAGGGGCATCGGGTCCTCGGGAGCTGAGGTTACAGGTGGTTGCGACACCTAACGTGGGTGCCAGGAACTGAACTTGGGTCCTCTGGAAGAGCAGTGTATGCTCTTCACCACTGAGCCAAGTCTCCAGCCCCACCTCTCTTTCTTTTTAATTCCAGGGCTTTATTGTACAACAGGGAAGGTCTTGCACGCCTAACCCCAACCCTTTGTTATTAAAACCTTTCTGGTTTAACATCCAAGGGAGACACTGAGCCAGACTGTCCTTTGGCAGAAGATGTTTGTTATGTTATTAATGCCGTGAACAGACAGATAGACAGCATGGCGTGGGTCCTGCCGTAGGGAGGCAGGTGTTCTCAGAGAGTTCAGTAGGCTTGCCAGGCAGAGTTTGGATCCCTTCTTATAGGTCTCAGAGGAAAGCTGGGGGTGGGTGGGTGCCTCACATAGTCCAGTAGTCATATTCCTGAGGGGCAGGGGTAGAGGGAATTCTGGGGTAGGGATGCAAGACAGGCTGTGGGGAAGTGAAGTGGGTGTGTCTTTCCCTGGAACTACAGGGGGTGCTGGGATAGACTGGGGACAGAAGCGGGGAGACTGCAGATGGGTGTCACCCAAGCAGTGTCTGGCCTGGGGTTCAGAGCCCCAGTTCTGGAGCCTGTCACAGATGCACAGCCAGGTTCTGGCAAGGACGCCTGCCTGCAGCCTGCAGCCGTGAGCCCACGTGTGGAATGTGACTGATCAGCACCTAACTTAAACCTGAAGTTCCTGGCAACCCCCTTTGTGATTTCCATGAGGATTTTTATAACAAACAAAACAAAAATACCATCATTTGCAGAATTCACCAGTATGGCGCCAAATGCCACTCTCTAGGCAGGGCTGGCAGCTACCCAGAAGAGGCTCCACCTGGCCTTCTCGGGGTTCTGCGGCCTTACCCTGCTCATGGGGCTGCTGGCCAATGGGCTCCTACTGCTAGTGGTGGCCTGGGGTCCTCGAGTTTCTCGCCTGCTCTTGGCATTGACCCACCAGCCTTACGGTGTGAAACGGCCTGGCCTGCTCTTCTCATCCTTTGTGGGACCTGCCCGGCTGCTGAGCCTCTTGCATGGGGCTGACTGGGCCCTGCCATCTGTGCCGCCAGCCAGGCTGCCAACACAACCACAACGTTCTGCCCTTTCTGGGCAAGACTCAGGGCCATTTTCTAAAGCTTCAGAAGAGCGATACTTCCTGGAGTAGTGGGAGGTACCTCGCCATGTCAGGGACCCCAGGACCTGGCAGAAGTCTGAGAGGACAGGCTGAGCCCAGAAAAACTGAGCTTCAAGGCTGAGAGGAGGAGTCTTTGTCATCTAGAGCCTGCCTCTCCATTTTCTCATGGGGACACACAGAGTGCCACAGGCTGCCACAAACAGCGGCCAATGGAGTGGATGGTGACAGTCCACGCTCTGTGGAAGAACGGTGAAGCTCAGACACCCGTGGGCTCCCAACCTTAGAGTTTTGTGATCTTGGGCCTCTGTGCCTCAGATGAGAATCTCTTCTTCATAGGGGGGTTCCCAGGAGGAACCCACGTGATGTGTGGGGAGGGGCAGGGGCTCGGTGAGCATGCGCGTGGCAATGCCGCCACCATCTCATGTTTACCAATTCTGGGCACTTGAGTAGATTAATGAGGCCGGAAAGCGCACCACCCTGGGGTTCTTAGTCCTGCGGCGGGCCATGGGGACAGGCTGCCAGGTAGAGTCCAAGAGAGCCCTTCACCTGCCTTGCCCATCCCTGTCCACCCTCTCCAGCTCTGTCCCACACACCCTCAGACCCAGACAGGAACAAAAATAAAGTCCACGCTGGAGACGCGAGTCTGGGCTTGTAAATTACTGGGCCCTGCCCTTCCTTCTGTGCGGTTTCTTTTTCCGAAGGTAGCTGGGAAGGGCCTTTTCCAAGGCCGCGCCCTCCCATTAGGGCCCACCTTTCTCTCTCTCTCTCTCTCTCTCTCTCTCTCTCTCTGACTCTTTAGATGTGGCCTCAGCTTCTGTGTTGGCGCTGGTACCAGGAAGGTTGTGTCCACTATCATTCTCAAGACGGCTTGTTTAACTTAACATTACCAGTTTTACACACACACACACACCAAGAGCAGGACAGGAGGGGGAGGGGAAGCTCTTGGACTGTGTGGTCAAAAACCCCAGGGACTATTGTGCTGAATCAAGTTAAACCAGTCCTTGCTATAGAACTTGTCAGGGCCTTGGGAGCCCCAAAGGGCACTGAGGCTATCCCAGATGTACTCAGAGAAATCATCCGCCTCAGACTCCATGCAGAACACACCTCGGGGAAAGAACCCAGTGGAGAAGTCATGCCATAAGGAAGATTCTTTTGGTGTTGTGTTTCCCCACCTCCACCCAGGGGCAGTTGCTCTGTGTCTGGATTCCCCTGCTGGGCACCTATCTCTCCCTACACTTTGCCACGGTGCCCAAGGAGATGGAAAATAGGCTGCTGGTTATGGAAACCTCCTTTCTCAAGCCGCGACCCCACCCCAGGTCCACTCAGGGCATCACGGGAGTCGCAGGGCATCTGATTACAGGGGCGGCTGTGAGTCAGCTCTAATTTACCATGAAGTCACCAGAAGTAAACAAGCCCCGAACTGGAGGATAATTAGTGCTGAATTCCTCTCGGGTACAGGCTCAGAATGGCTGCCCAGAGGGCTGATCAGACAGCATGCGTAGTTTGTGTGTATGTGTGTGGAAAGTCCTTGTCCTCGTGATGCAGGTCACTGATGGTCCTGACCTGTGAGGAGGGACCAAGAAAGATGTTTACTATGTGCCTAAGTACACAGGGCACACTCTGCTGGGCACACACCCCGGGGGTCATCCTGGATGAGCCAGAGTGTCCTTTAGTGCCACAGCTCCCAGCCCTTCCTGCTGGCTGGCACTGCTGCCCTGTGGTGGCTGACTTAGCCCGGAGGGTGATGCTGGGGAAGGAGCCAAGGCCTCTGACCCCTGTAAAGGCCTGGAATGGGTGCTCAGCAGGTATCTGTTAAGAGATGAGGAACTAAGGGATTGAATGTGATAGGGATCCACAGGCGTTGATGAGGTTCGGGTCATGTGCTGGCTTCTCTCACTTCCTCAATGGCTACATCTCTCCAGAACAAATGTCAGAGCCCTTGCCATGAACCACAAGGCCCTGTGCATTCTGGCCCCCTCCCTGATGTCAGCTCCTGCTCTCTCTTCCTTAACTCTCTCCTTGCCCCCTTCACACACAGCAGGCTCCTACCTCAGAGACTGTCCTTACTCACCCCTGCTGCTGGAGCCCTCGGCAGCCAGACGTCAGCATGGCTCCCGGCCACATCGCCTTGGGACTGCCCTCAGTCTCCTGACTGTCTCACCTAAAACACCTCTCCACTGTTGTCTGATCCCTCATTCTCTCCCGTTGCTGTAGACTCTTCCCACTGTCTGAAACCAAGCTACAGACCTGAGTGCACACTTGCTGTCCTTCCTGTCTTCCGTGATGTTTGTGAGGGGCAGGCTTCATCCCCTGCCACACACCCCCATGCCTCTCACAGGGTCGTACAGAGGCATGGCTGAACCAGAGAACTGAGGGAGCAGAGCTGCTGGGCCAGCGGCGGAGCTGTTTTCCAAGGAGAAGGGACAGGGGTCCTACTAAAAGAACCAGTTTACTTCAGTTTAAGGCAATTTCCACAGAGACGGTCTCAGACAGGCACAGGACCAGACAGCAGAAACACCACCATCATCATGCATGACAGAGGCGGGTGGGATGGGAGATGGTGGGCGGGGACTCCATGCGGCACAAGGGACACATGCAAGACCTGCCCCAGTGGACAAAGGATGGTAGCCAGTGGGGTAACCTTAGGTGGAAAGTTCCTTGCCACCTTCCCACGGCAAGGGCAGGAGCTCTGAAGGGCTGGGGTGTGGGAGACAGGATGCAACGGGGTAACCCCAGAGTCTAGATAACCTGGGTGTGGACGGCGGTCATGAGGAGGGGATGGGGAGGCTGGGTGTGGAATGGAATGGACCCTCAGGATGGCTCAGGAAACGCTGGAACACCTGACCAATCCTGTCGTCACGGAGGCGTGGACACTGAGGTCCAGAGAGCAGAGGCTGCGCTGGGTGGGGTCAGGCTGGTGCTCAGGGCTCCTGTCTCTGGCCCCAGAGCCACTGAAGGGCAGAGAGGAAGCAAGACAGAGAGTGCAGGTGCTGACCCTATGCCCTGCAGGTGAGTGGCCTCCCAGGTGAGCAGGAGACATCTTAATGCCACAAGCTACCTGTGATAGCTCCAGTGAGGCTGCAAATGTGCATCTAGAACATTCTAGCATACCACCGAGCCTTTGAGGACTGCCAAGGGACTGACTCTCTGCAAACATGCCCCCATCACAGTCCCTGATGGCTCACAGGCTCTGCTTACAAGTGGTGTCCCTAAGAAAGTCAGTCACACATCCCTGGTAGCCCATCAGCCTGGGGTTCCCTGGACACAGGACAGGGGATCTCAAGGGACTGGGGACACTAGACACTATGGCAAGAGGGGAGGGGAGCTGGAGGAGGCCAGTTGGACTGCAAGAATAGGGGAGTCTGGGGTTATCCAACACAGGCTAGGGGAGTCTACTCAACCGCAGAATCTTATGTACCCCTTGTCTTCTATACCACCCCCAGTTCCCTGGATTTGGGTGGGAAATTGAGGCCAGGAGGTGGGGTGAGGCCATGGACACCCCATCTCCTGCCAGCCCTCCAAGAAGAGTCTGGGAAGGCGACCACAAGGAAAGTGAGGAGGTCTCAGCCTCCAGGCCCCTGGTCCTGCGAGTTTCAGATATGCGTGTGGAGGGGGGACTCAGGAGGTGAGTGGGCGGGGGACTGTGGGGGTGACTGAGCAGGTGCGGCGGGTGGTGGGCGTGGGCGGATGCCCTGTGCCTTCATGTAGGACACCAGCTGGTCGGGGATCTCGGCCAGCACATCCCGGGCCAGGCGGGCCATGCTCAACACGTGGTTGCCGGTACGGTCCACGTAGTCCCGGAAGGGCACGAACTGACAGGCAGGAAAGTGGGGTCAGGATGGGCATCTGGGTCTCCTCCCAGAGGACCCACTGTATCCAACCCCCGCTTCATGGGTTTCACCAAGGGCTGAAGACACTCACCCCCGCTCATGACAGGTTCTAACACTGACCCAATCCCTTCATCTGAGACTCTAGCGATGAGCACAGAGGCTCAAGGGATGCTGGGAAAGCTTGTCCTGGCTTCCTTTTCTCTTACCAACCCTCTCTAGAGGGACCCCCTCTGCCTCCTAGGACCCTTTCTCCTCTAAGCCCACACCTAACCCACTATCCCCTCAGTGTTGTCTCCCTCTGGCTCCTTCCTGCCCTCTTCCTCCTAAGCACTAAGGACACGGCCTCCATCTTGCCCTCCTCCTCCTAAGCACTAAGGATGCGGCCTCCATCTTCAGGGGGTCTCCATGCCGCTGGAAGGCCATGTCACACAGACTATTGGAAGTGCATGAGCACGGAGCCCTTTTGCAGGGCTTGGATTCTGCAGGGGCATCATTCGGGTTAGAAGGCAGCTTCATACAGGGCAGGACAGGGAGGGACCCTGGCTGAGGAGGGGATTCCAGGGTCTGTCCTTGGGGACGCTGCAAAGGGGCTCTGAGGCTGGACTGGCTAGAGGCCTTCATATTTGATGCACTACTAAGCAGGGCCTGTTTCACCTGGACGATGTCCCGTTCAGCCAGTTTCCCCCGGGAGGAGATCCGCACGTCATCCCCGTCCAGCTCCACCATGGCTGTAGGGACAAGCAAGGGACGTGTGTGTGTGACAGAGTACACCTGACAGGACCTGCCCTCCAGTCCCAGGCCAGTCTAGGGCCCCTGCCCCGACACCAGAGATGAGGAAACAGGTGGAGACAGACCGACGTGCAGCTAGGGCCCTGTTCCCCTCGTCCAGGCTCCTTGCCTGGAGCAGTGGTACAGCCCCGGTGATGAGGCTGAGCCACACGTGTGGATGGACACACCCTCTTGGGGCACACAAACCCACCCAGACACGAGCTCTTGCTGGTGGGGACAGGATGCCACGGAGTTCTGTGGGAAGAGACGTCTGGGAAGGGAACACTGGACTCACCATCGAACTCAGCCTGGCCCACGCCAACAATGATGATGGACATTGGGAGTTTGGCAGCCTTGGAGAAGACAGGGGAGGGGAAAAGTCTTAGGTGAGGGTCAGGTAGGGGCAGGAAGGTGGGTCAAATGAAGAGAGGGCAAAGTATGGGGCAGGAATGGGTAATGAAGGGTAGGGGACCCCAGGGAACCCCAAGGGAAAGGGCAGGATAGGGAGAGAAGAGGAGGATTGAGGACAAGAGGAGAGCCTCTCAGGAGAGCTGGGTCTGCCTGACTCTGAGCCACCTCCTCTCAGGCACTGGGGCTCCACCATGAGGGACCAGGGCAGCTGTGGCTGGAGCCACTTTTATAGGGAAACCATGGAACAGGGTTGGGGGAAGCTTTCCTCTGCTGGGACCCCCTACCTCCTCTACATGACAGGGAAGCTGGGGCCTAGGGTGGGTGGCTGAGGGAGCCATGGGCCCCCATAGAACAGGGCCGTCCGTCTGTGTGGCTCAGAGGTCTGGCCTCTCACAAACCCAGAGTTTCTTTTAACTCCCAAACCCCTGACTAGCACTGTCTCCTAGTCCTGCCAGACTCTGGCCAGCAACCAGAGGAATAAGGGAATTCAAAAGTGTGTGTGGGGACCCCTTTAGGGAAACATTGTGGGGGCAGGGAAAGAATTCCCCAGGGTTTCTTTAAATGAGGCACCCCCACCAGGTTCTCCTAGAGGTGGGACAAGATGCTTCAGTCCCCTGAAACCATGTGGGGTGTGTCTGTCTGTGTTTGTGTGTGTGTGTGTGAGAGAGAGAGAGACTGAGAGAGAGAGAAGCACCCTCATCCTCCACTCACATTGACGATGGCCTCCTTCGTCTGCGCCATGTCAGAGATGACGCCATCAGTGATGATGAGCAGAACAGAATACTGGGAGCCGTCCTGCACGGTGGCAGCATTCCTGTGGGGGCGGGGATAGGGACACAAGGAGGTCTGTCCTGGCGCCTCTGGCCCAGGCTGCCTGAGCAAGACTCTCAAACATCTTGGTAAGGCCCATGGCATCTCCCTGGGCCTCTTGGAGAGCAGGTGGCACAGGATGCTTCATTACGCCCTCCAGCAATGCTTCCGGGGTAGGGGGCCAGCTGCCTCAGGCTCACCTGGCTACGTGGGTGACTACAGGGGCGAAGTTTGTGGGGCCGTAGAGCTGCACCGTGCGCAGGCTGCTGTGGTAGGCCTCCAGGATGCCATCGATGCCACAGCATGAGGGGTTCTCCTGGTTGCCGTTCTGGGACAGAGAGGAGCCAGCTGAGCTCAGGTAAGCAGGAAGACAGGGGGGGGGGAGAGATCGGGGGCAGGGGGGTGGGGGTGGGGGTCGGGTTGGAGGCAGGGGGAAGACAGGGATGGGTTCAGGGAAGAAGAGGCAGGCAGAGGCAGGCAGAGGCAGGGCATAGTTGCCTTTAGCTCAGACCCCAACCCAAGTAGATGGCCACGCTTACGGAGTTTACTCTACAAGTATTTAGGCCAAGGCCAAGAATTAGAAACTCCCGGTCCCCTACTGCTCATTCCCAGCCTGGCACCTCCTACCAGTGGGAACTCATGTGACACCCTGCCGTCAGGGGGCAGCTTGGCCCCGAAGCCCAGGGCAGGGAACATCTTGTCGCTGTCGTAATGCTGGATGATCTCCCCGACGGCGGTCAGCGCCAGCGCATAGGCGTTCAGCTGGTAGGGGCTCATATAGTGCAGGGACGTGGACTGCGAGGGGTTCCCTGCAACACAAGACGTGCGAACGTCTGCCAGACTGGACAGGGCGTGTCCACGAGCGCCACTGTTCATCCTTGAACCTTCCCTGGCACACCCTCCATGCCATCCTGGTTCCAGAGTGACTGCCAAACCCTTGGAACATTCAGAATTCCACATTTTCCTCAAGGCCATCACTGGTGCACAGGGTAGCAGTAGCCTCCTCATGCCCACCCCATACCCGCTTGCCCCTGCCCTGCCCTTACCTGCAGTCCACACTACACACTGGCCTGCCCCCCCCCCCGACTCCAAGGCCAGACCATCTGCTTGAAGGACCCTGAGCTCTCAATCCACCCAGACCACCCCAGAGCCCACCAAGCCACAGGATCCCCATGGATCTGGCCTCCCATCCTCCTCCCAGTCCGAGCTCCACAGTCGTGGCCTCTTTGTGCATCCTTGCATGGCCCTGGCAGTGTCTGTTTCTCTCCTCAACATCCACGAGGCTCGCCTCCTTGTCTCTCTTCTACGGCCACCAAACCAGAGTGGCCTTCCTGTAGTAGTGCCCGCCTACCAGAGTTCCCTTTCCCTTCCCCTGCCATGATGTCCCCAATTGCCCCTGTCACCTCAAGCGTTCAGATTTCACCGATCCGCTTGTTACTGATGGCCTCCCAAGGCACGACCAGCGTCTAGACTGCCTACCAGCCGCGTGATCTGAACTCTTCAGTCTCCTCACTACAGACACCTCTGGAAATCAGGGGCAGCTGCCCTATCCTAGGTCACGGTTAGGATTAAATGGGTAGGGTGAGTAGAGCTGTCTCCCTGCCATTTTCATGTCTGTGTGCATGCATGTCTGTATGTATGTGGGTGTACATGCCTGTGGGGCCCAAGGCTGGTCTGAGAATCACCCTCCCTTACTCTTCCACCCAATTCACTGAAATCGTCCAATCTGGCTAGTCTCACGAGGCTGATTATAGACGGGCTACCACACACGCCTGCCATGTATGTGTGTCCTGGGGACTGGACCCTCAGTCCTTGCTTGTATAGCAAGCACCCTAACCACTGAGCCATCTCCTGCACTGTCTTTTTTGGCATCAGTACCAAGATACCCCGCCCCCTACTCTAACAGCCCAGAACTCATGTCCTATAGCCATGGAAGGATTCAGACACCAGGGGAAGGTGAGACCTCGGTGTCTTCTGACACAGAAACAAGCTCAGAGCACCCTGGTGGGGGTCATGACCTCACGAGAAGCTCTGTGCTGTTTTTCAGGGTACACTTAGACACCGTGGCAGCGCCTGGCCACGCAACCAGTCAGATCTAGATTACGCTATTCTTTTGTTTCCCAGTAAGAAAAGCAATGGCTGGGGGAGGGGGGTGTTCCCCCACCAACTCAGGTGCTGGGGGGTTGTTTCCCTACCATATTGTGTCATCTGACCTGGGGAAGCCTCAGCCTTCTTGGGTATTTAATTAAATCAACAATTTATTTATTTTGGGGGACAGGGTCTCACTGTGTCATCCTGACTGGCTTGGAACTCACTATGAAAACCAGGCTGGCCTCGAACTCACAGAGATCTGCCTGCCTCTGCCTCCTGAGCGTTGGGATCAAAGGCGTGCGCCGCCCTCTTCATTCTAACTTTGGTTGTCTAGACATAGAAGCCTTCTCTGGTGGGCAGTTTTCTTGGAATTGAAGCATTCCATCTCAGAAACTAAACAGCTCACAGGGTACAGGAAGTTCCTGTTAAACTGTCTGCAAGCTGTACAGGGTCCCAGCTTTCCTGGGTTGTCACCCACACTGAGATGGCTCTCATTAGCCTGTGTGTAGTAACCCCTGACCCATACTCCTGTATGCCAGCAAACTCACACTGGACTTTGGTAATATCTGTACATTGGTCTGTTATTGGTTCCCTATCTGGGGGAGTAGATTTTTGCTTACATCTCCCAAGCAATAATGTCACCCAACGAGAAGAGGAGGGAGTATGAGGGGCCTGGCTCATAGCCGAGTTGTCCACCACAGCACAGAAAAGTCTGCCCCCCACTCCTGCCCCACTCACCATTGGAGGCAGTGAAGTCAATGGCCACGGTGAAGTTGATCTGTGTCCTAAAGAGGAGAAGACCTGGGGTCACCTGGGGAGGATGGGCCGTGGGCAGCACTGGGCAAGGCAGTAAGAAGTACTGAGAACACATGTTTGTCAGGCATGTGGCCTTAGAGAAGCCACTTATGCATAATCTCTGGGAGGCTGGGGCGGTTGCAACAGCCATGCCCCTCTGTGAGGCCACTGCGAGCATTGGGAGTGAGCATTCCAGAACACACAGGGATGGATTATGCTGTGTGGGCATGCACGGTTCTACGGGCTGCCGTCCCTTCCTCTCCGAATCTCTGCCCAAGTGAGTGAGTAGGTGAGGCTGGGACTACTGGGTTTCTGGTTAAAATCCAGAGTCAGATTAATGGTTAAAACATAACAAATGAGGAGTCAAAACATACACTAAGTATCTCTAGAAGGAAGACAATGACACCCACGATACTGTCTGGTCAAAACCCAACCCCAAACCTGGCTGAGCTTCCACAGCTTTCTGCTAGATTTTTTTTCTGTTTTTGTTTTGTTTCGTTGTGTTTGGTTTGTTTGCTTAGTTTTTGAGATGGGGTTTCACTAGGCAGCCCTGGATAGCCTGGAACTTGGTATGTGACCAGGCTGGTCTTGAACTCATAGCAACCCTCCTGTCGTTATCTTCCAAGTGCTTGAATTAAAGGCATGTGCCACCACAGCCAGTCTCTAAGTTCTCACAGAAAATACAGAAGACAGTTCTATGTGTGTGTGTGTGTGTGTGTGTGTGTGTGTGTGTGTGTGTGTGCGTGCGCGCTGTTAAATGACACCATAGGAGATACAGCCAGAGTCTATGAAAAACTGTATAGCATTGCTGTAAGAATCACAGTTGAGAACTTAAGGACTCTCTGGTTCCCTCTAGATCCCACAAGATGAAAACAGAATTAAGAGAGGAATACATCAATCAGTATTTGGATTTTGACTGGACTCTGCAATCAATCAATTTTAAAAAGTTTCAAGACAACCAGGGACACTTGAAAACTGCCTAGCCTCTGGTATTAAGGAACTGTGAAATTTTCAGTGTTTGGGGTGTTACTATGAACTGTGGTTCATTTTGTAATCACACAGTATGGCTATTAAGTTTAAGCTTTTTTTAAATTATGTGTCTCTGTGTGTGAACGCACACTTGAGTGCAGGTGCTGGAAGAGACCAGAAGAGGGCGCCAGATCAACTCTGGAGCTGGAGTTACAGGCTGCTAGGAGTCACGGGATGTGGGCAGGAAGTACTCTAAACCACCGAGTCATCACTTTAACCCCTGTGTTGCATTTTATGAAGGGAAAGTCCTGTATTCTAGAGCTACCTTCTGTAGGACTTTGGGAGGGATGAGGGCTGGGGCCTACTTCATCACAAGTGGGTAAGGAGACTAGACTCCGACTCGCTGGGCAAGGTCAATCAGAGTCTGGGAGGCTCCTGAGGTTCCCTTCTCAATGCTAATCATGTGTGAAATTTTTCACAATGAAGTCAGCCTGAAGGTTTCATGGCTGGCTGCTGTGGAATACAGGCCAGACGTGGACAAAGTAAAACTGATGACGATGTGCGCCTGGGTGGAGCCTCATCTTGTGATTCTCACAGGGCTGTAAATCAGAGGGAGAGTTTCAGGGCCCTCTCTCTGCGGTGATTCAATTGGGGCCCTCAGAATCTACTTAACAAAACCCTGGGGTCACACAGGGGAAGATACTTTGCCTGGGGACATAGAGGATGTAACAGGAGTGGGCCTTATTTCAACTGTACTTAGGAGAAGGTCCCTATTAGAAATCCCAGCTCTCTTGCCACCTGATCAGAGTCAAGTTGTTGTCCACGAACTCTTTGTCCCTTAGAAAAGGGCAAGCATCTAGCCAGCAGGAGACAAGCCACGTTTTATAGGTAGAGGGAGTCCCATCTTTCTGCTAGCTGGAGGCAGAGCATCCCCTGGACTCCAGTCTTTAAGAGAAGAGCCACAAGAGAGCAAGAGCCTGGGCCCCTGAGTGGCTGTTTACATCACTGCCACACTCAGTACTGCCAGATACTTGTTTGAAGTCTGTGACTGGGGAATCCTTGCTATAGCAGTAGACTGTTTGATGGCATCTCTCCATGTGGAATAACGGCTTCCAGTTAGAGGAAGGGAGACACCTGGAGAGCAAATGCCCTGATTCAGGGGCCACCCTTGGGAGGATGGCTCTGCCTTGCTGGACCACAGTTGAGGAACACTACGGGGTTGTCTCTTCCAAGAACAGGATGGGGGAAAAGGCTGGTACTGTTCCTTAACTATTCTTCTATGCAAAGTCCTGAAAACATGAGGAAGGAAGCAATCAGAAAGCAACAGTGGTGCATGCCTTTAATCCCAGCACTCGGAAGGCAGCAGGCAGAACTCTGTGAGTTCGAGGACAGCCTGGTCTACAAAACAAGTTCTAGGACAGCTGGGGCTGTTACACAAAGAAACTCTGTTTTGAAAAACAAAACAAAAACAAAAACAAAAACAAAAAAGAAGGAAAGGAAGAGAGAAAGAAAGAAAGCAGTCATTTTGGGCAAAGCAACTCCTGGCAGCCAAGTTGCTCCTCCTGGCCTCATCTGATAGGGCCAGAGGCACCATCATTCTTACTCCTGGGCTCTACAGGCAGGGAAGGGACCCCTCTGTCAGCCTCTTGCTTGGACAAGCTCTCTATGCTTCACAGCCCAAGAGTTACTTGTCTCACTCAGACACTCCAGAGAGTTCTTTCTAGGGGTCTGATCTACAGGGTGCTCCAGCAGCCCCCTGCCTCTTCAGCTTCCATCTGTAGTTAGCCCCATGGGAACAACAGAGGCTGTGAGAATTACTAATTAGCCAGGAACAAAAGGAGCCTGGCCACCTTGCAGGTGGGTGCAAAATGGAGATAAGGTCTTCGCCCCACCCTCTATGTAAATTAGGCGTGCTATGCAAATGCGAGGGCGAACAAAATGAAGCTTGTCTCAAAATTGCCAGGTGCAGTGGAATATGAGGGCTGGAGGCTTAATGCTTAATGGAATAAAGAAGGGAGAATTCTTGGTTTGCAGATTTTTTTTTCTTTTTGCATGCAAGGAAAGTGCTGTACCACTGAGCTGCACCCCCAGTTCTGTAGAGGAAGTGGTGATGGGGAAGACTGCCAAGATGGGGTGGATCTATACAGAGAGGGGCTAGAGGAGGCCTCTGGGAGCCCAAAGGGATGGTGCGTGTGTGCTCTCTGATGGGCTCGTAACCTTGAGGCTGCAAGTTCAAGAGATGAAGGAGCCGTGTCATGGGAAAGGGAACGATGTCCCAGGACAGCTGTCTCTCTGTGCCCTGGAGACAGGGCAGCCGGGTGCCTGCCAGGCTGGGATGCGCCTTGGGTAGCTGCCCTGCTGGTCTCCTCTCAGGCAGGTGCAGTCATTGCTCGCCTGCACCTGTGGGCTCTCAGCTGCCCACACCCTGACCTGGCAGCTGCCTGCAGGGAGTGTGCCAGGGAGGCCCCTCCTTGGAATCAGGCCATGTCTAGCAAGCTGTCAGCTGAGGCCTCCTGGCTGTTCTGCTGTGTTGGCCTGGAGGTCACCCCCTACAGTTCCTTCTGCTCTTTCAGCTGGGTGTTGGGCACCTGCTGGCCCTGGGACTGTCCCCTAATCTCACTGTTCTTATAGGTCCCTGCCCCACACCCATCAGGAGCCCAGTGCTGGAAGGGACCTTAGCTTTCACCTATGGCAAGCCCTGTGCTGAGGACAGCCCTGATACTTACAGAGAGAACGTGACTCACCACAGTAACTCAGGAAAGCCAAGGCAAACGGGACAGGAGCCTGCGGCCCTGATGCCCTGCCCAGAGTGCTTTCTACCTCCCACACCTTGGCTCTCTTTGTCACAGAGTCTCCACCACCCTCAGGCCCCTCCCACCTCTACTCAGGGATCTGACCTCTGCTCAGAATCAGGAGTTGGCGGGGTTCTCAGCTCCCAGGCAGAGTCTGTCTACACCCAGTGTCAGGCTCGGTTGGAGTCTCATGGTGTGTGCTGTGGTTACATGGTATGGAGCCCTGCCCTCTCCCGGGGCTGGGGAGGTGGGCCCCATTTCTCTCACCCTCCTTTGATGTAGTCCAGAAAGGTACTCTCTGACTCTACCGCAAAGGAAAGCAGTGTGACCTGGGAAAGAAAGAGGGTGTGGTTAGCAAAGAGCCCAGGATGGTCAGGATCTCACAGATGGGTGCTGGGTTCACCCATGTCACCCGATGCTGTGCCTGTGGCAACCCCAGCAAGGACTCTCATCCCCATTTTACAGCCCAGGAAACTGAGGTTCCACGGATGCTGCCAGGATGTGGCACAGTAAGGATATGAACCTATCCGAATCCAGAATGTCTGTGACTTTCACACTGAGACAGGGTCTCCTGTAGCCCAGGCTGCCCTCAAACTGGCTATGTAGCCAAGGATTACTCTGAACTCCTGTTCCTCCTGCCTCCAGTTTGATGGACTTTAGAAACACACTTCACGGTGATGCCAACCCTACAGCTGAAGCACAGGGCCCAGGTAAAGGGCCCAGCCATCCTCCAAGGGCAACCTGGGAAAACCCAGAGTTCCTGGCCTGCAATGTGGAGGACTGTGGACTCTTCCTGATGTAGGCCCAGCCGCCTGTGCCTGTCTCTGGCTGTGCCGCTCCCTGTCACCATCCTGTCTCTGTTCTCTTCTCCGGCCTTGCCCGCTTCTGGGGTGCAATTCACCCTCAACCCTCTGCAATTCACCCTCAATCCCTCTGCTCCAAGACCCAGCGAGCAACCCGGCTTCTTCCTGCAGGTGCCCAGTCCCCAGGATCCCTCTCCTGGTTGAAGCCTCCTGCCTTCAGTCCCTCAGAGACTTTGGCAATGGTCTTGGCCCTACAGGCAGCCTGTCACAAAGAGGTCTGTCTGGGTCATGGAGAGGAGGGAGAGTGAGGTGACTTGAAAGGAGGGGGCCCTGAAACCAAGGAGCCCCTGTTGGTGAGGATCTGATTACTGCACCAGCCCCTCAGCTTGGCTAGGCCAGATGTGACCAAGCTGATGTTCCCCAACCTGAAGAACGAGACAGAAGGTCTGTGTGCTGTGGCCCCAGAGAGCCCCACCCCAGAGAGCCCCACCCCAGAGAGCCCCACC